CAGAATAAACACCCACTGTGTTGATGGTATAACACACCACTATCAGAGCTCACACAGGTTGTGTATGTTAACCCTTGCTACTTGGGGTACAGAATAAACACCCACTGTGTTGATGGTATAACACACCACTACCAGAACTCACACAGGTTGTGTATGTTAACCCTTGCTACTTGGGGTACAGAATAAACACCCACTGTGTTGATGGTATAACACACCACTATCAGAGCTCACACAGGTAGTGTATGTTAACCCTTGCTACTTGGGGTACAGAATAAACACCCACTGTGTTGATGGCATAACACACCATTACACGAAGTCTCACAGGTAGTGTATGTTAACCCTTGCTACTTGGGGTACAGAATAAACACCCACTGTGTTGATGGTATAACACACCACTACCAGAAGTCACACAGGTAGTGTATGTTAACCCTTGCTACTTGGGGTACAGAATAAACACCCACTGTGTTGATGGCATAACACACCATTACACGAAGTCTCACAGGTAGTGTATGTTAACCCTTGCTACTTGGGGTACAGAATAAACACCCACTGTGTTGATGGTATAACACACCACTACCAGAGCTCACAGGTGGTGTATGTTAACCCTTGCTACTTGGGGTACAGACTAAACACCCACTGTGTTGATGGTATAACACACCACTACCAGATCTCACAGAGGTAGTGTATGTTAACCCTTGCTACTTGGGGTACAGACTAAACACCCACTGTGTTGATGGTATAACACACCACTACCAGAAGTCACACAGGTAGTGTATGTTAACCCTTGCTACTTGGGGGTATAGAATAAACACCCGCTGTGTTGATGGTAAAACACACCACTATCAGAGCTCACACAGGTAGTGTATGTTAACCCTTGCTTCTTGGGGTACAGAATAAACACCCACTGTGTTGATGGTATAACGCACCACTACCAGAAGTCACACAGGTAGTGTATGTTAACCCTTGCTACTTGGGGTACAGAATAAACACCCGCTGTGTTGATGGTATAACACACCACTATCAGAGCTCACACAGGTTGTGTATGTTAACCCTTGCTACTTGGGGTACAGAATAAACACCCACTGTGTTGATGGTATAACGCACCCCTACCAGATCTCACAGAGGTAGTGTATGTTAACCCTTGCTACTTGGGGTACAGACTAAACACCCACTGTGTTGATGGTATAACACACCACTACCAGAAGTCACACAGGTAGTGTATGTTAACCCTTGCTACTTGGGGTATAGAATAAACACCCGCTGTGTTGATGGTAAAACACACCACTATCAGAGCTCACACAGGTAGTGTATGTTAACCCTTGCTTCTTGGGGTACAGAATAAACACCCACTGTGTTGATGGTATAACGCACCCCTACCAGAAGTCACACAGGTAGTGTATGTTAACCCTTGCTACTTGGGGTACAGAATAAACACCCGCTGTGTTGATGGTATAACACACCACTATCAGAGCTCACACAGGTTGTGTATGTTAACCCTTGCTACTTGGGGTACAGAATAAACACCCACTGTGTTGATGGTATAACACACCACTATCAGAGCTCACACAGGTAGTGTATGTTAACCCTTGCTACTTGGGGTACAGAATAAACACCCACTGTGTTGATGGCATAACACACCATTACACGAAGTCTCACAGGTAGTGTATGTTAACCCTTGCTACTTGGGGTACAGAATAAACACCCACTGTGTTGATGGTATAACACACCACTACCAGAAGTCACACAGGTAGTGTATGTTAACCCTTGCTACTTGGGGTACAGAATAAACACCCACTGTGTTGATGGCATAACACACCATTACACGAAGTCTCACAGGTAGTGTATGTTAACCCTTGCTACTTGGGGTACAGAATAAACACCCACTGTGTTGATGGTATAACACACCACTACCAGAGCTCACAGAGGTAGTGTATGTTAACCCTTGCTACTTGGGGTACAGACTAAACACCCACTGTGTTGATGGTATAACACACCACTACCAGATCTCACAGAGGTAGTGTATGTTAACCCTTGCTACTTGGGGTACAGACTAAACACCCACTGTGTTGATGGTATAACACACCACTACCAGAAGTCACACAGGTAGTGTATGTTAACCCTTGCTACTTGGGGTATAGAATAAACACCCGCTGTGTTGATGGTAAAACACACCACTATCAGAGCTCACACAGGTAGTGTATGTTAACCCTTGCTTCTTGGGGTACAGAATAAACACCCACTGTGTTGATGGTATAACGCACCCCTACCAGAAGTCACACAGGTAGTGTATGTTAACCCTTGCTACTTGGGGTACAGAATAAACACCCGCTGTGTTGATGGTATAACACACCACTATCAGAGCTCACACAGGTTGTGTATGTTAACCCTTGCTACTTGGGGTACAGAATAAACACCCACTGTGTTGATGGTATAACGCACCCCTACCAGAAGTCACACAGGTAGTGTATGTTCACCCTTGCTACTTGGGGTACAGAATAAACACCCACTGTGTTGATGGTATAACACACCACTATCAGAGCTTACACAGGCTGTGTATGTTAACCCTTGCTACTTGGGGTACAGAATAAACACCCACTGTGTTGATGGTATAACGCACCCTACCAGAAGTCACACAGGTAGTGTATGTTAACCCTTGCTACTTGGGGTACAGAATAAACACCCACTGTGTTGATGGTATAACACACCACTATCAGAGCTCACACAGGTTGTGTATGTTAACCCTTGCTCATTTGGGTACAGAATAAACACCCACTGTGTTGATGGTATAACACACCACTACCAGAAGTCACACAGGTAGTGTATGTTAACCCTTGCTACTTGGGGTACAGAATGAACACCCACTGTGTTGATGGTATAACACACCAAAACCAGAAGTCACACAGGTAGTGTATATTAACCCTTGCTACTTGGGGTACAGAATGAACACCCACTGTGTTGATGGTATAACACACCACTACCAGAGCTCACACAGGTAGTGTATGTTAACCCTTGCTACTTGGGGTACAGAATGAACACCCACTGTGTTGATGGTATAACACACCACTACCAGAAGTCGCACAGGTAGTGTATGTTAACCCTTGCTTCTTGGGGTACAGAATAAACACCCACTGTGTTGATGGTATAACACACCACTATCAGAGCTCACACAGGTAGTGTATGTTAACCCTTGCTACTTGGGGTACAGAATAAACACCCACTGTGTTGATGGTATAACACACCACTACCAGAAGTCACACAGGTAGTGTATGTTAACCCTTGCTACTTGGGGTACAGAATAAACACCCACTGTGTTGATGGCATAACACACCATTACACGAAGTCTCACAGGTAGTGTATGTTAACCCTTGCTACTTGGGGTACAGAATAAACACCCACTGTGTTGATGGTATAACACACCACTACCAGAGCTCACAGAGGTAGTGTATGTTAACCCTTGCTACTTGGGGTACAGACTAAACACCCACTGTGTTGATGGTATAACACACCACTACCAGATCTCACAGAGGTAGTGTATGTTAACCCTTGCTACTTGGGGTACAGACTAAACACCCACTGTGTTGATGGTATAACACACCACTACCAGAAGTCACACAGGTAGTGTATGTTAACCCTGCTACTTGGGGTATAGAATAAACACCCGCTGTGTTGATGGTAAAACACACCACTATCAGAGCTCACACAGGTAGTGTATGTTAACCCTTGCTTCTTGGGGTACAGAATAAACACCCACTGTGTTGATGGTATAACGCACCACTACCAGAAGTCCACACAGGTAGTGTATGTTAACCCTTGCTACTTGGGGTACAGAATAAACACCCGCTGTGTTGATGGTATAACACACCACTATCAGAGCTCACACAGGTTGTGTATGTTAACCCTTGCTACTTGGGGTACAGAATAAACACCCACTGTGTTGATGGTATAACGCACCCCTACCAGAAGTCACACAGGTAGTGTATGTTCACCCTTGCTACTTGGGGTACAGAATAAACACCCACTGTGTTGATGGTATAACACACCACTATCAGAGCTTACACAGGCTGTGTATGTTAACCCTTGCTACTTGGGGTACAGAATAAACACCCACTGTGTTGATGGTATAACGCACCCCTACCAGAAGTCACACAGGTAGTGTATGTTAACCCTTGCTACTTGGGGTACAGAATAAACACCCACTGTGTTGATGGTATAACACACCACTATCAGAGCTCACACAGGTTGTGTATGTTAACCCTTGCTCATTTGGGTACAGAATAAACACCCACTGTGTTGATGGTATAACACACCACTACCAGAAGTCGCACAGGTAGTGTATGTTAACCCTTGCTACTTAGGGTACAGAATGAACACCCACTGTGTTGATGGTATAACACACCAAAACCAGAAGTCACACAGGTAGTGTATATTAACCCTTGCTACTTGGGGTACAGAATGAACACCCACTGTGTTGATGGTATAACACACCACTACCAGAGCTCACACAGGTAGTGTATGTTAACCCTTGCTACTTGGGGTACAGAATGAACACCCACTGTGTTGATGGTATAACACACCACTACCAGAAGTCGCACAGGTAGTGTATGTTAACCCTTGCTTCTTGGGGTACAGAATAAACACCCACTGTGTTGATGGTATAACACACCACTATCAGAGCTCACACAGATAGAGTATGTTAACCCTTGCTACTTGGGGTACAGAATAAACACCCACTGTGTTGATGGTATAACACACCCCTACCAGAGCTCACACAGGTAGTGTATGTTAACCCTTGCTTCTTAGGGTACAGAATAAACACCCACTGTGTTGATGGTATAACTCACCCCTACCAGAAGTCACACAGGTAGTGTATGTTAACCCTTGCTACTTGGGGTACAGAATGAACACCCACTGTGTTGATGGTATAACACATCCCTACCAGAAGTCACACAGGTAGTGTATGTTAACCCTTGCTACTTGGGGTACAGAATAAATGATTTGATTGACACATATAATTGTTTCCAACTAGCATACATCGATGCTCACGAAGACAGTCATTGGAAGTTCTGGATCGTATGTGCATCGTTTGTGTGCTGTACGAGGACAAAAGTATGCATTTCATGACAATATAGCCCTTTTCCTGTTACATCGCATGTGACCATGAAATAGCTAATCTCCCGGGATTCCCGTACACTCCGTCATTAGCTCACGAGCCAGAGACAACATAAACTGGATGTACAAACCCGACACCTCGGAATCAACTGTGAGTACTTTCTTAATGTTGACAAGTCAGACATTACTTCTTCTACTGATTGCCCGTAAACAGATACTAGTGTCAGTATAGAGCTCTCTGTTGTCTGACAGAAAGTCTGTATCACGGACTCTCGGTTCAACAGGATCTATAATATGTCAGGTCCGGACATATGTATGTGAAAACAGTAGTCTGAACGGGTGTAGCAGGTTATTAGGAAAAGAAAGGAACTGAAATTGTGGTTTAAGCCAGGCGGACGTAATCGCAGTGTTCCTGGTCCTGATCACCTGCTGTACATTTTAGTCCAATGCGTAAAACGAGCTAGGGTTATAACGAACTAAAAATCTAGTTCCTTTCAGTTCGACACGACCGCAGTTTACTGTCTATTCAACTTTATTACTAAAACAGCTTTGATAATGTTGCACATAATGACGCCAGGCCGTGAAAAAAGAAAGAAGCGAGCTGTAGTTTCCCTGGGTAAATCTAATAAGTGCCTGACATATCATTCAAAATATAATAATGGAGATACAACAAAACAAATGTAAAATGTACTTCCCAAGTACATACTGTTATGTGGCAGCGTTTACGACTATGGTATAAGAATGTATGGTGACGCTTAGAACTGCCGAGAAAGATCTGTTATGTTTTTCGTAGTGTTACGGTTAAATAATTGCCGTGACAAAAGGTATAGGAATCAGGGTCAGGGTCAGACTATGTGGAAGGCAAACTCCAGTGATATGACACGGTCTGAGTAATTCCGTGTGTTAGTCCGTGTGTCAATCCCTGTGTCGCACAACACAACAGCCAGCCTTTATATATACTGACACAGATTCTTGTACTTTCGAGCAAAGCATGGCTGTATCATTATTCACTCAGAATCTTCTGGATCGGCGTCAAGTTTACGACATGACGACGGCCGGAAATAGATAGTTAAGGGCAGGTAACTCTTGAGCGCTAACAAAAGGCGTGCCGCTAAAATACTATTGACTTTGAACATATATGACGGAAAATGTGACCCACAACCAACACTCAAAACTTTAAACACTCTGACCCATAATGAATATCATCTAACCAATGTTAATACAAATTACAAAAAAACCACACTCTCGTAACAGTAGATATATGCATTTTGCTTCACGTGCATCGTAAGTAACAGAAAAGACGATGATTATTATATCTTGGATTGTTCAAGCTAGCCCACCCAGAGTTACCTCCCCTACCGGATATACATGGGTAGCCAGAAGCACCCTAGTCTCCCTAGTGCTGACTTACAATGTCTGAGAATGCAGATAGAGTATGTAGATTGTCCTTTATTATCATCTCGTCTTGAAGACGACACAGCACTTATTTCTGGTTTGTGACATTAGGACATGTGTTATTAAGCCTGGCCGCAGGTGGGGCTCGCAATTGCTTGCCCACTGACCCTTAGATTGGTGCAGGTAGTCCACCTAGAGCTACCTCACCTACCGGCAACACGTGGCTAGCCTCGCCCACTGACCCTTAGATTGGTGGAGGCAGTCCACCCAGAGCTACCTCACCTACCGGCAACACGTGGCTAGCCTCGCCCACTGACCCTTGGATTGGTGGAGGTAGTCCACCCAGAGCTACCTCACCTACCGGCAACACGTGGCTAGCCTCGCCCACTGACCCTTGGATTGGTGGAGGCAGTCCACCCAGAGCTACCTCACCTACCGGCAACACGTGGCTAGCCTCGCCCACTGACCCTTGGATTGGTGGAGGTAGTCCACCTAGAGCTACCTCACCTACCGGCAACACGTGGCTAGCCTCGCCCACTGACCCTTAGATTGGTGGAGGTAGTCCACCCAGAGCTACCTCACCTACCGGCAACACGTGGCTAGCCTCGCCCACTGACCCTTGGATTGGTGGAGGTAGTCCACCCAGAGCTACCTCACCTACCGGCAATACGTGGCTAGCCTTGCCCACTGACGTTCTCTTACTTCCGTGAAATTGAGGGAAGCGGGAGATTATCCTAGGATAGAGTGGCACGAGTGGATGCTCTGTCAGAATATTTGGGATTATTTCCCATAAGTACAGATCGTTCCAGATGGATCTGTTTGCCCTTTGAAGGATAAATCAAATTTGCTCCAGCATCCCGAACTCTGACACCTGGACTGAACGTACAGCGTACCGTGATCCCAAAAGTCCCCTTGTTCCCCCTGTCCACCCAGCCAGCTGAGTTTCGTATGCTCCTGACAGTCGTTGTTGCTGGTAATTCTCAGCGTTCTGGCACAGAATTTTGTTCTGACACTTGCAACCGCGTCTTCTCAATCAGAATGGGGCGACCCACCCAAAGCCTCAGATTCAGGGGGTGGCTTGGCAGTACTTGCGGGCACAATTCTTTCATCAAGGCCGGATTCGACAATCGTTCAGTAGAGGTAGGCCTGGTATTTTATATCCCTTTCTTGGAGATTTAGTTCCTCCAGTCTCGTTTGGAAGAGAGCCTCATGGTGTGATATAAAAGCAACGGGAGCACCGCCAGTTCACAACTGAGCTGTTGTTACGGTGGGGAGAAGGCAACTGAAATACGATCACATGTGTCTACCAAGTCAGTTAGCCTGACCACCCGACCCTGTTAGTCGCCTCTTACGACAAGATCTAGCCCGAATCTTTACAGGTATAACATCCGAAGGATCGTGCTTGGTTAGGTATGTCAGTTCTGTCCAGTGGGCAAATTGAGTCTGATCATTCACCTTGGTTTGGTTCTGGGTCTCTATCATTGTCACTGCAGGTTCGTTTCATGACTTCTTTGTGGCTTACCACCCTTTCGGGTCGGGGTAGATTTGCTTGTTTAGTCTGCCCCTTACATCTTCTTTCACCAGTACGGCTGTAAGTCCCCATGGTCCCTAGTATGGTGATCTACCTTCAGTTGTTGGTGATCAATAGCCTGTTTTTTAATTTGTATCGTCTTGTATAGTTCAAATGTTTTAGATTTAGTTACTAGTTTTATATCTATATCTGTGATAATCTAGTTATTTTACTGTCCTTCGTCGGCAGAATTTTCTAATTTCACTTAAATTGTTGATGTATTTATAACTTGCTTTAGTCACGATATGGCTGCAATATTGCCGATGTGACTTAAAATCTTAACTCACTCACTCACTCACCAGTACGGAGAGGGACGTTTATGAACATTATGTGCTCATTTCCATATTCTTTCCTTGAGAGCAGCAGTTCACGTGGCCTGGTAAGTGTAATGGGAGTCAACACTGAATTTGATTACGTTTTCCCTGTAAGGCTTTCCATTCTTAACGAACTACAGTTATGAGGAACAAATATTAGTGACTCATTATATTTCGTTGTTACCATAGTTTGGTTTTTGAGGAAAGGAAGTGAATGTTTTTGTGTGAATGAAGGCTCAAATGTTCAACTGTGAAATGTATAAATGTTATTGTCTATAAATCACGTGTACACGAACTTCTAGTTAAAAACTACAGTAACCATGTAAATAATGTATAATTTCCATCTTTACACAGGGTAACATCGTGAAATCAAATCGACAACTTTCAGCGAGAGGATCAAACACTCACACTGTATCAGCTATGGAAGCTAAAGAGTACCCGGTGCAGGAAATAATTGAATATTTTGAAGCTCAAACAGCTGAAAGAGTTGATTCCGATATTGAACGCTTTGCGAGGGGAAATACAGAAAACGCAAAAGTCGTTAGAAAGCTGATGAGAGAAAGATCAATTCACACTAACTCATCTGAAGGATGTCATCGTGAAGTGATGAAGGACGAAATGGTTAAGGAGGAACAAAGTAATGGAATTCCTGATGAAGCCATCTTGGATGAAGGGGACAACATACAACACGTGACCAGAGCTCTACAGGATGGACAAGTTGTAGGCGTCAGAGAAGGGGATGACATCTTGGAGGAAGACGACACCATACAACACGTGGCCAGAGGTGTACAGGATGGACAAGCTGTAGGCGTCAGAGAAGGTGATGACATCTTGGAGGAAGAGGACAACATGCAACACGTGACCAGAGGTGTACAGGATGGACAAGCTGTAGGCGTCAGAGAAGGAGATGACATCTTGGCGGAAGAGGACAGCATGCAACACGTGACCAGAGGTGTACAGGATGGACAAGCTGTAGGCGTCAGAGAAGGAGATGACATCTTGGAGGAAGAGGACAACATGCAACACGTGACCAGAGGTGTACAGGATGGACAAGCTGTAGGCGTCAGAGAAGGAGATGACATCTTGGAGGAAGAGGACAACATGCAACACGTGACCAGAGGTGTACAGGATGGACAAGCTGTAGGCGTCAGAGAAGGAGATGACATCTTGGAGGAAGAGGACAACATGCAACACGTGACCAGAGGTGTACAGGATGGACAAGCTGTAGGCGTCAGAGAAGGAGATGACATCTTGGAGGAAGAGGACAACATGCAACACGTGACCAGAGGTGTACAGGATGGACAAGCTGTAGGCGTCAGAGAAGGAGATGACATCTTGGAGGAAGAGGACAACATGCAACACGTGACCAGAGGTGTACAGGGTGGACAAGCTGTAGGCGTCAGAGAAGGAGATGACATCTTGGAGGAAGAGGACAACATGCAACACGTGACCAGAGGTGTACAGGATGGACAAGCTGTAGGCGTCAGAGAAGGAGATGACATCTTGGAGGAAGAGGACAACATGCAACACGTGACCAGAGGTGTACAGGATGGACAAGCTGTAGGCGTCAGAGAAGGAGATGACATCTTGGATGAAGAGGACAACATGCAACACGTGACCAGAGGTGTACAGGATGGACAAGCTGTAGGCGTCAGAGAAGGAGATGACGTCTTGGAGGAAGAGGACAACATGCAACACGTGACCAGAGGTGTACAGGATGGACAAGCTGTAGGCGTCAGAGAAGGAGATGGCATCTTGGAGGAAAAGGACAACATGCAACACGTGTCAGGTGTCACAGGGGGAGATGTTGACAACTCCACCGTAGTAGGCGTGGTGAAGGACGGAATGGGCAACAAACAGAAAATAGTTAATAGTGATATTTGTGTCACTGGCAGCAGAGGTGAGCCTGACGGGGACGATAACGATGCAGATCACAAAATGAAAGAAGTCGCTGGAGTTGCAGGTGGTGTTGTCAAGGACTCCACTGTTGTTGGAGAAGTTCATGGTGGCATGGACAATGAACAGACCATCGAAAATTCAAAAATCTACTCTGAAGGAAGCTTCGGTGGAAACCTTCAGTTCCTCGACCTGAACATCAGACAGAGAGACGATTGTGGAGGACAACAAGATGGGAGTGTCCAGAGCTTCATAGACTGCATCATTGATCTCCGTAAACCAGATGATGCCACAGATAAAGGTAAACATTCCATCCATGTATAAAATCATTATTGTAGGTTACATGACCCTTCTTATTTCCCTTGATTATTGATATACCAGACTGTGAAAGAAAAGAAAAATTGACAAGACCATTGCTTTTGTTCCTACGAATTACTTGTACATTCCCTGCTGGTGTACTAAGATATGCACTGTCAGTGTCGCAAACATATCACAAAATACGTGCAAAGGATTAAATGACAAAAGATTGGAATAAACCGACCAAGATTTGGCGTAAATGATGAACTGTATCCTGATTGAATCTGAAGACAAGTAATACTGCTAGCTTATATGTCATGTGGAGAATGAACTTTAATATATTTCGGCCTTGGGGGGTAGCGGATTCAACACGTTATTGCAATGGGTTTTACAACAGAAAAAGTGATAATTTTAGGACTTTCTTCCTCAGACAAACAGACTGATGAAGCAGAGTCAGCCCAGGATCAGGTCGGATCTACATCCTGTGCAAGTGGCATCTCCGCCACAGAGCCAGGTACGATGAGTAGCCCTCTAGTGACATTTATACATGTGCAAAAAATGCCAAAATGATTACATATACAAAAGCAAATAATAATATTAACTGGGGAAGCACGAACCTATTGTGGATTTTGCAGAAAGTAACAGAGCGTGTATTTCAGCATCTTTATAGAATTTGAGTCAGTGACTGAGAAATGTTTTGCGGTGCATTTATTGATAATCCGGCATAGGGGACCGAACACAAACCTTCGGCCTGACGATGGAAGCGGGTGTTTTAAGCTCCAAGTTATGCTTACAAAATGTACAACCACATATTATCCATATATATCAGTTGTTACAACTTATGCTCACGAGTTGCTAAGTGCACATAATCTATTTCAGATGACGGAACAGAAACCCAAGACATGCAAAAGAAGGTATTTTCCAGGAGTATTTTCAGGCATCCGTTTTTGTAACAAGTTAGGACGATTTGAAAATTAACAACAGGTAGAATCATATTTTACATTACTCATATTTGTGAAAATTGAAAAAAAATATATAGTAATCTACAAATATACTTCCTTTCAAAGTTTAGACTCACTAGTAAATATAACTACTTCGGGTAACTGTTCTAAACAAAAATTTGCAAAATATTCCACGCTGTTTAACGGTACTGTTTACACATGAACTGATGTATTGTAAAACAAATTCGTAACGTTGAAAGTACTTTTGTCATCAGTTTAATAAAAAAAAAAAAAATCAGTGAAAAAAAGCTAATTCTAAACCAAATTTACACCAAAACGCAGATGTTCACGTGCACGATATTTGCAAATGCTTTTCATCAATTTGATGCATGATCCTCGTGCAATTCATCTGCATAAGGTTTGCAGTTGGCACCCCCAAGTTAGTGGAGACAAAATTACATAAAGTATGTGACATGTGACTCACTGACATCTCATGGAGCACTTTAACACTTACATTAACATGAAACATGTGACACACTGGCACCATTACATATAACATGTAACATGTGACACAATGGCACCATTACATATAACATGTAACATGTGACACACTGGCACCATTACATTAACATGTAATATGTGACACACTGGCACCATTACATACAACATGTCACATGTGTCACACTGGCACCATTACATACAACATGTAACATGTGACACACTGGCACCATTACATACAACATGTAACATGTGTCACACTGGCACCATAACATACAACATGTTACATGTGACACACTGGCACCATTACATACAACATGTAATATGTGACACAATGGCACCATTACATATAACATGTCACATGTGACACACTGGCACCATTACATATAACATGTAACATGTGACAGACTGGCACCATTACATACAACATGTAACATGTGTCACACTGGCACCATTACATATAACATGTCACATGTGACACACTGGCACCATTACATATAACATGTAACATGTGTCACACTGGCACCATTACATATAACAAGTAACATGTGACTTACTGCCAACATTACATTATAACTTGTAACATGTGACACACTGGCACCATTACATATAACAAGTAACATGTGACTTACTGCCAACATTTACTTATAACATGTAAGATGTGACACACTGGCACCATTACATTAACATGTAACATGTTACTGACTGACATTACATACACCATGTAACATGTGACACACTGGCACCATTACATTAACATGTTACATGTGACTGACTGACATTACATACATTATGTAACATGTGACTCACTGACAACATTACATACATTATGTAACATGTGACTCACTGACAACATTACATACAACATGTAACATGTGACTCACTGACAACATTACATACAACATGTAACATGTGACTCACTGACAACATTACATACAGCATGTAACATGTGACTCACTGACAACATAACATACAAAGCATGTAACATGTGACTCACTGACAACATTACATACAGCATGTAACATGTGACTCACTGACAACATTACATACATTATGTAACATGTGACGCACTGACAACATTACATACAGCATGTAACATGTGACTCACTGACAACATTACGTACAGCATGTAACATGTGACTCACTGACAACATTACATACATTATGTAACATGTGACGCACTGACAACATTACATACAGCATGTAACATGTGACTCATTGGCAACATTACGTACAGCATGTAACATGTGACTCACTGACAACATTACATACAGCATGTAACATGTGACTCACTGACAACATTACATACATTATGTAACATGTGACGCACTGACAACATTACATACAGCATGTAACATGTGACTCATTGGCAACATTACGTACAGCATGTAACATGTGACTCACTGACAACATCACGTGACAGATAGAGGAAGTGAAGGATCGGTCTGAGAGGAGGAGGAAGAACGTCGCCTCATGCAGGAGAAGCAGACAGCCATGGAGGAACAACTGCTGAGTAAGATTGACAAATTTTCGTTATTCACTTTTTGTTAGCATTCAACGCCCTTAGAAATGTAACTGGTAAAAATGTATGCTCGACTGATACAAAGTCAAGGCAGCTTGATCTGTAGGAATATTGCCCTACATTTTGTCATACAGCCTTGTGAAGAGTTTTCTTGTTGCAATATTCCAAAAGCTCCAGCCTTTGGTGTTTACTTTTCACAACTTTTGAGGTCAAGTCAAGCATGGTCTCATATCAAGATATCAAAGAGCCTCACGCCACACTTGCTCAGAAGTTGCTGCGATCGAGGTTACGACATTCAAGGCATCAGTATAGCGTTCATAAATGTTCCGAGGACATTTCGAAAGTTGATGCATCAGCCGCTTCTATGATGTCCAATGAAGTTCCTTAGTTTGAAGTGCACCCTGCGTTCCCGAATTATTTCCTGTGATCAATTGCCTTGACTTTGCAGGTGATTGTGACGTGTGCCACAGGTGGGGCAGGGTACACTCACATTTTCTGTGAACACCTGGCATACTCATAATAAAACACAAATTGTTAAATCGACACTGCTTTTAGCAGAGGTTTTTTTCTGGATGTGAAAAATCTTTAGCCAAGGATGAAAAAGAGTAACACACGAGATGATCTCGAATGTTTTCTTTTAAGTTCAGGTGGGTATATGAGTTGAAGAGAATTGGCTATTGAACGATATCAGATCATGAAGATACTTGAAGTTTAAGAGAAGAATTTGTGCTATATAAAGAAACAGACCCTGAAGGATGGGAGCACAATTTGTGCCCATGGGTATAGCTTCTTCTTGTCTAAATATTTTCACCAGAAAATGAGGAAGTCCATAACACAATAAATACATTTCTAACGTCTGTTATCTCTGTAAAATGACTTTGTTCAGATGGAGTTTCGGATATTTTTTGTAAAATTCACCTCTTATAGTAGACAAATCCATCCGAAAAGTATTTGACATTTGCCTATGTTTGCCAATGTATGCATAATAAGGAATATTTGTTGGTCACTCAAAGTATGACATTCATTTTTAGCTTCCACATCTTGCCATGATATCAAACATGTAAGGAACTAGAGGCCATTGTGAGTTTTCGATCTCACAAGCCGGTGTTTAGGAATAACTGTTGAATAGGTATTCCCCAAACATGAGCAGATCCCGTTCCTGAGAAACCCGTCCCGCATGAACGCAAGTTATGCCAATTATTTACGTGAATAAAATCAACAGACAAACAGAACATAGGACCACATTGTAATGAAAGACATTGGAAGTAATTCTGATCGCGGACTCCGAAGTCCACACCCTTTGGGATGTAAAACTATCATTTGATGCCCTTACAAAGCAATATTAACTTACAAACACAATTCTCATTCTGTATACCAGTTATCTTACCTCTGTGTTTGTTCATGTGTTTTTATTTAATAACTCATATTTACACGTGTGATTTCTTGCTTTTTTCCCATATCAAATACAAACAATGTTTAAACATTTCTTATAATCATCAGATAATATGAGACAACGAAGACAGTTTCAAACCACATTTACAACATGATGCAATGACTGACTGACTGAGTTTGGTTTTACGCGCCGCTTTTAGCAATGTTCCAGCAACATCACAGCGGGAGACACCAGAAATGGGCTTCACTCATTGTGCCCATGTGGGGATTCGAACCCGGGTCTTCGGCGTGACGAGCCAACGCTTTAACCATTAGGCTACCCCACCGCCCCCCACATGATGCAATGAGCAGACATGACAGTAACGCTATTTAACCGCCCTGTAAACTGACCTTAACATCGTCGGCAGCTAGGCATGTATGGAATAAACATCATATACTCAACAACGAAAAGTGTCAGTTGCGAGTTTTAGAAATGAATTTGTAGGATAACATGACAGTGGATGTGCTTTAAAGCACCATGGAAATACTTAAAGAACTCTGAGAGAGAATGACCATGTATTTCCAACAGGGTATCGATGTATTTGTAACACACAAAGTTTGGTGAAATGCACTTTGTAAATACTTTTTCTTTTCAGTCCCATGCTATCATCTTGTTAATTGTGATGTTTGTTTTGTGAATGATTCGGTAAACACTAGCCATACCATGTTGAGAACAATCTATACACGAAATCTAAATAAATATAACATAAAACCTGTCGTCAAATGACAGCACAAGTACCATAGTAACGGAGATTTGGGATAAAAAACAAACGACCATGGTATAAGCAAATAAATGTTTCACTACAGAAAACAATGAAATATAACCGGGGTCCAGATCGCCAGCATCTGAGGTAGATCACCATATCAGGTACCTAGGGAAAGGTGTTTTAAGCTGGAGAAATTGTTCCCAATTCTTTTCACATTTTGAAAAAAAACATGTTTAAATAATTTAAATCATGAATGTTTTCAGATGATCAACGACATCGTCAATGGATGCAGACCGAGGCAAGCAGCTTTTAGAGTAGATCGACTGATTCGAAAAGCAGGCTTCACAAAATCGAATAGGCTATCGGAGTACAAGTTAAATAATCTACCTCATTTTCATGCTCGACGGCCACCTATGGTTCTGTCCTGTGCAAACTGCCATACTGACATGGTGTATCAGGTGTACACAATGTCGAAGTTGAAGTAATTGTTACTGGTGACGTCTCATGTTTCCATGACGACACCCTTTAGTGGTCTGTTTCAAGTTTCGGAAGATGTTTTCGTCTTTCAGGACGAGAACATGCACGACCCGTCAATCGTCAACCCACATTCCAAAGAATATAAATATCTGAAGTATTAAATACAGAGAACAGCATCGAATATAACTTTGGCAAATCATGGGGCATATTTTCAAATGTTTATCATAGATCTTTATAGAAAGTCAGTTTTATCTCGGAACTGTCAACGAATGGCTTTGCATCAAAATGTAAATGTGAACTGTTGATTAACTCATAACTGCTAAGCACCAATCGGTGATTCCCAACTTCCCTCAGCCACAACATCGTTAAGCATCATTCCTTTTATTGCATTCATGTGTTTCAGTTTGAAGCAATATTGCTATTAAGATGTACCTACTTAACATATTTTAACGTTCTACAATACATAAGCAAGACAGTGTGACAACAATACATGTTCATATACTTACAGATGCAGAGAATTGCATATGAACAACAAAGACATGGTAAGTACAGAATGCCCGCATGCTGGACGTTATTATAATTGTATACATTATTCGGCTCTTCTTTATAAACTAAGCCTTATAAAGGTTGATGTTGCATGTAATTATGTGTTTCTCAGGGACGGTTGGGTAGCCTAGTGGTTAAACCGTTTGCTCGTCACGTCGACGATCCGGTTTCGATTCCCCACATTGGTACAATGTGTGATGCCTATTTGGTGTACCTCCCCGGATATTAGTGGAGTATTGCTGAAAGCTGAGTAAAACAAAACACATTGACTTACTAACTATATACTTCTTATGTTAAAGGTGCATATGGAGTTTATCCACCCTCAGTTGCCAGGCAACCGCATCCACTTCCAGTCGTCATGAATCCAGCTCTGGCTGCTGGTGGGTTTGTTGTAGCTCCAGCAGCACCGGCGGTGGTGTATGTCAGACCTCAGTCACCGCGCCCAGCGGGTACTGGTGAGTACACAATCAGTAGATACAATTAAGATAGATCTTCATTGTTGAACTGGACACATGCACAGATTTTCGCATGTTTCTATTTTTTATTTGCTGTGGACATTTTCTATTGACAGATGTTTGTTTAGGTCAAACACTATATACCCTTGAAAACTGTAAATATGTAGAATATATACCATGGATTTTGTGATGCATATTTTAAGCAAAGACTTTATAAAGTGCGCATTACAATCGCTATGGTGAGGAATCTCTCTTTCACAGGGATCTGTTAACTGTTAAGTCACCCGTGTGTTTGTTCCAGACATCAATGTTGAAGCTTTGCAAATGCAATAACTCGACGTTACTTCTTCCAGGAAAATATTCACTCACGATTGGCCTAAGACATACATGATTTAGGGGGGGTCCGGCTTGCTGGCATTTTCATTGTATCCCCTTTGCGAAGATTTATGCTCATTATGTCATTGACTGTATTGCAAGGGTTATTCACTGACCGCCGTCAGAACCTTTCCAAAGAAAATCCCGCATTAAACAGCTATCAAGCATCTCTGAGAGGCATTTCAGAAGTTGTATAGGTGAAGGAAACCCAAGTCCTATGGATAGTCAACGTCTTTATTGCAATGAGTGCGACGTTTTGGTGTATGTACTGACACCGTTATCATCACTTGCTTGATAACGGTGTTAGTACCTACACCGGAATGGCGCACTCATTGCAATGAAGACGTTGACTATCCATAGAACTTGGGTTTCCTTCAGCAACCAAGCAAATTAACAAAATCTTCAAAATGAAGACGTAACACAATTAATATTTTCGTTTCTTAAGGTCTTCTGAAGAACATAAAGCAATTCCTCGCAGGAGAAAACAGTAATCAGAAAGAATCACCAAGCCACGACAGATCTACTCACAGACAGTACTTCGAATGAGTGGACATTTGATGATGATTAGTGTTCCATTTGTCCAGAATGTGAATTAAAAAAAAATAAGGTTTGGCAATATTATAAGATGTTAGCATCATCACAACATGATCAGTTGAAAGTTGGAAATAAAGCCATTCAGCCTTCTCCATTTGTCTATAATCGTGGCGTCCTACTCCAATCTGACCTCCCCGTGAAGAAACAGATTTCGGATGTATACAGAAACTATTACTTCCATCTCCATAATATTGGGCAGATCAGATCAGATCTCCTGACACAGGATGCTGCGGTTGCCCTGGTGAGAACACTGATTCTCTCACGACTTGATTATTGCAACAGCTTGTTGGTTGCAGCTTCAGAAGATTGCTCCATCTAAAAGCTTCAACGAATCCAGAACACAGCTGCCCGCAGAGTTACTCTCAAACCTAAACATTGCCGCATCACTCCCATTCTGATGTCTCTTCATTGGTTGGCTATTGGACTGCAATAATGCCTTATTGATTGTTAGCGCTATGAGTATACCTGGTGTGGGAGTTTGGCGCTATAATAAATGGATACATTGCTATATTTTACACTTTATTATCATTATTAGTATGTTGACTAATGCCTGATGAAACCAGGCCAGGGGTCACATGATTTATGACCATAGCAGGGTTTGCAATGTCAATCAATTCAGATGTTGCAGATAGCTGATTTCATTCATGACACGCGGGAAATATATGATGTTAACGAATATTACAGTTTGAATGCAGAGTAGGAAGTAAAGCCATCAATAACGGTTTGCTAATATTTGTCAAAATTAACATCAATGGTACCGTGATAAGGAGAGCAAGTACGATGATGAGAACAAAATACAGGCAAGTGTACTATTGTATTGAATGGAGAACAGCATTAGACAACGCATTTTAAGAAGTCAATGTTATGGTGTAAAACTGAACGGATATATAACATGTAGGGATGTTATTGATAAGCGGAACAGCTGATGCTTTAAAGAAATAACTTAAATAGCGGAGGAATGGTCAAGCTTGATACTAAAGGTTTTGTTTTCCACCGCAGGTATCCTGTGCATGCTAACTTCATTCCCATATTACAAGTATCTTGATCTCATTCGCCAACAAGCCTCCATTCTGTTCCTCTTTGAAGTGACATTTAGTTATAAACCAGCAGCTCATGCCTATCACGTTTCAGTTAACTACGATTATACTGAAGGGACCTTAAAGTTTACTCATGCTTATTGTTAATCTGTCCTCTTGATGAATATATTAAACAGCTGAGACATTACACGAACAGCTTAAATAGCGTATGAATGGGTAAAACGGGCAGTTTTCCGCCTCAAATATCCTCCCTTACACACAGTAAACTACAGTCATATCGAACTAGAAGGGACCTGAAAGTTTAATTCCCCGGAACCGTTGCTAGTTATTCTTACATAAAGTAACCTACCCAACCACATCATTAACCAGTGTGTATGTTTGCTCAATAAAACTAAAGTTTATCTGATCATAAAGAATTGTATGGATTTCGTCTTATTTCTATTCTTGAATTCCCAGAAAATTCTTTATGTTCGTCATCTAAAATGCGAATCAAGCAACGGGCGTTTTCCTTGTTAAGAAAGCACAGTAGAAACAAAGATACATTTTGCTTTAAGAAACGAAACATTCATGCACATGTTTGTCAGTCCATTTCGCGGTTTGAGAGATAAAACATGACAAGAGAGATTGAAGTATGTTCATTTGTAGCGACACTCAGTGTCTTAAATGGCGGTAAAAAGTTCAGATGTGAGTAACCGTTATTTCTGTCTACCTTTTACTTATTAATGTCTGAACTGAGCTGTCAATCGGTGAACCTGAAGTTATGTTATCAAACGCAATGGATATATTCAGGCGTAGGATGTCCAACCGAAAATGAAATTCAATATTATTTTTAGAAAATTATTACAAATATGTTATATTCCGTTGCATACTAACACGACTAAAGACACGGTGACAGACATGTACAAGACCCTACAGACGATTGTAGGACACCGTGACACACAACCAGTGCTGTGACATTTCCACTGTTTCTGTGCAACAAGTTTAAACATTACACTATCAGTTACATAAACCACAACCCGCTTAACAAAACAGTGCGTGACGTTTCCCCCCAACTCCTGTGCAGAACTGGTATAATGCGAAATGTAATCCACAATGTGAATCCTATCTTGCCACTGACGGCAATCCTGTCCCACTGCCTCTGATTGAATCTAGCATGTCCAGCACAATGAACACAATGTTGTGAATGGGATATCATGATCATCGATCTACCCGCTCTAATAGATTCTAATAACGACTCACAAAGGATAAATAGGGCATTCTGTTAGCGCTCTTAATAATTGTGGAACTCAGGTTTAACCGAATCGGGGTTATCAGTGTTATCAATACTTGTAGAAATGAGGTGTATCTTTCACTGTGTGTCTGTGTTGTTGATACTTGTAGAAATGCGGTGTATCTTTCATCGTGTGTGTGTTGTTTATACTTGTAGAACTTGGTCGACGATGGCTGTGTGTATATCTGTATTGCCTTGTTTGCCTTTGTGTTAGCGAAGATTGTAAGATATTATCATAGTTCTAAAATACGTATATGGCTGAAATATTGCCGATGTGACGTTAAATATTAACTCACTCACTCACTCTAAAATACGTCATATTTTCCTCAATCTTATATAAATAATTGTGACTTTATGAAATAGGACTAAACAGTACATTTTGTATTTTTATTCAAAACGAGAATACTAAGCGCTGTCTCAGTTAGTGTTGATCTTCGTTGTCCAAGTTGTAAGATAATTAGCATTATGTGTTAAGCTTTAAGACTATATGCATGGTCCGCCCAAGTCTATAATCTGTCAGTATCGATATACGCTCGTCTTCATTCCCAAGTTTTCTTGACAAACCTTATGTACTAACTGTTAAGACGACATGTCCGGAGAGAGAAGTAAACATTACTCTATGATAACACGCTCTCCGAGAAAACTGTTAGATAATTTTGGTCATTTCTGCACTCTCAAGTCTTTCAAAGCTACGAGGTGAACTTAAGATTTAGATAGTCAGCAGTGTAGATTAGAGGCATTTTTAAGTATTGTTTAAAGAAGTGACCATTGAACGCGCGACCATATCACGAACTCTGAGAGCATCGGTGGTATATATAACGGCCTTTATTCAGGGTATTTCACTTACGAAATGCACCGAATAAAGACAGGCCACTAATCGATGCTTCTCTTGGTTATTTGAAGGTAAGCCATGTTCAATTCATTCATTGTATGTTCTTAAATTATGTTCATATTTTCTCTGTTTTCTATTACGTTCCATACTGTTAGTTTATGCCAATATCATCATTTAAACTATGCAGTACTGAATAAGTACAACAAGGAATATCTGTATCATAGTTGTGTCAGACAATCTTACATCAAAATAGTTTACAGTATAATGTAGTAACGTTAAGACATAATGTAGGTTCAGTATATCACAATTACATATGATCGGGCTCGTTGAAGTAAAGCAATTCTTGCGCACGTGTTGTGTATTTTATTGCGTTTTGCAATGAAAGTGAATGTCAGTGAATGTATTTCTAAATAATTATTACATGTGTTTTACTCAAATGTTCCATGCTACCTTTCATCAACCAATGTTTAAACAATGTACATATTATGTGAGGTTACAATACGGTACACGCAAAACTACTGAGCGCACATAAACCTTGTTGTTTCATTCTGTTGCTCACATATTGTTACGTTCTCAGTACTGTAAAGCTTCAAGTGTGTATACTGTATGTATACTTATTCAATAACATGCCGTTCGGCATATGATCTTTAGTAATTCACGACAGATTAGATACTCAGATGTGGTCATATGATTCAACTAGCAGACTGAACATTTATATTTTTTGTTTATTCTTATTATTCTGCTTAGGTTGTATTCTGTTGGGATGTAGCAAACTATATAACGCCTATCATTTACGACTTCCATAGAAGATTATTTTAGCAATTGATAGCACATGTACCACGTGTCGTACAGAACAGTTACCTCATCATTCTCTACGCATATTTCTCAGCTGCGCTACGCCATGTGTATTATGTTTCTAATATAATATGAAGTGTCCTCACTTCCGTGTAATCTTAGCAATTGTGGTGTTTATTGTAAGGTATATTGTCAGTAAGGTTTATGTAATTATTAATTCACATGTTTTTCATAGTTTGTATTAATTGTCCAAGTTTGAAATAATGCTGATGTTTTATAGAATTGCACTCATGAAATGCACCGAATAAAGACTGGCCACTAATCGATGCTTCTCTTGGTTATTTGAAGGTGTTGCGGTCCAAAGCTAATTCCCCGACAACAAATTCTAGGTATTATAATTATCCTAGACCAAATATAAACCCTAAAGAGGTTACTATATGGTCAAGGTTATTATAATATGGTCGGCGATGGCTGTGTGTATATCTGTATTGCCTTGTTTGCCTTTGAGTTAGCGAAGATTGTAAGATATGGTCGGTGATGGCCGTGTGTATATCTGTATTGCCTTGTTTGCCTTTGTGTTAGCGAAGATTGTAAGATATGGTCGGCGATGGCTGTGTGTATATGTGCATTGCCTTGTTTGCCTTTGTGTTAGCGAAGATTGTTAGATATGGTCGGCGATGGCTGTGTGTATATCTGTTTTGCCTTGTTTGCATTTGTGTTAGCGAAGATTGTAAGATATGGTGGGCGATGGCTGTGTGTATATCTGTATTGCCTTGTTTGCATTTGTGTTAGTGAAGATTGTAAGATATGGTGGGCGATGGCTGTGTGTATATCTGTTTTGCCTTGTTTGCATTTGTGTTAGCGAAGATTGTAAGATATGGTCGGCGATGGCTGTGTGTATATCTGTTTTGCCTTGTTTGCATTTGTGTTAGCGAAGATTGTAAGATATGGTGGGCGATGGTTGTGTGTATATCTGTATTGCCTTGTTTGCATTTGTGTTAGTGAAGATTGTAAGATATGGTGGGCGATGGCTGTGTGTATATCTGTTTTGCCTTGTTTGCATTTGTGTTAGCCAAGATTGTAAGATATGGTCGGCGATGGCTGTGTGTATATCTGTTTTGCCTTGTTTGCATTTGTGTTAGCGAAGATTGTAAGATATGGTCGGCGATGGCTGTGTGTATATCTGTTTTGCCTTGTTTGCATTTGTGTTAGCCAAGATTGTAAGATATGGTCGGCGATGGCTGTGTGTATATCTGTTTTGCCTTGTTTGCATTTGTGTTAGCGAAGATTGTAAGATATGGTGGGCGATGGCTGTGTGTATATCTGTTTTGCCTTGTTTGCATTTGTGTTAGCCAAGATTGTAAGATATGGTGGGCGATGGCTGTGTGTATATCTGTTTTGCCTTGTTTGCATTTGTGTTAGCGAAGATTGTGAGATATGGTCGGCGATGGCTGTGTGTATATCTGTTTTGCCTTGTTTGCATTTGTGTTAGCGAAGATTGTAAGATATGGTGGGCGATGGCCGTGTGTATATCTGTATTGCCTTGTTTGCCTTTGTGTTAGCGAAGATTGTAAGA